GCGGCGCCCCCTCTCAGCGCTGTTGTTGTCTTCCCCCGGAGACTCTGCTGCCGGTTGGCGGAGCCCCTCGGCAGGTCTCTGTGGGGTCCCCCAGACAGTGGCTTCCCTGATGGGGCAGGCAAGTCGTCTATCACTTACTTAGTGGGTCAGTTTGCTGAAAAACTGCAGCTTTTCGTGACCTCGGTCCAGGGCATTGTTGCCAGTGGCTCTCGATGCCTTTCCTCACTCCTGTCACGTCGCAGATCTCAGGGCTGCTCCAGCATCGCTGGCACTACTCTGGCAGCTCTGCCTAGAGCCGTATTCGGCATCTTGCTTTAGGATGATTTCTTTACTCAGTTTAACATGAGTGGTGGGATTATGCTACCAGAACCCTCCTCAGGCTTCTTGAGATGATCAGGGACCCTGAACTTGCAGCTCAGCCCCTTGGTTCCTGAGCGAGTGTTCAGGCTCCCTGGGGGCAGCGGGGAGCCTGGATGGTAACCCAGGGCAACTGTAGGGTGCAGCCTTTCCTCTGGATTTTACCGCGTCTGTGCCTTGTGCCCCAGGTGACTCCCGCCCCCACACAGCTACCGTATCAGAGGCAGGGACAGCACACGCACTCCCTCTCCAGATCCTCCCGCCTGAGCTTCCCCGAGGAGCTGGGGCTACAGGCAGCTCCCCCCGCCTGGCCTGCAGGCTGGACTGGAGCTCGTGTGCCGGCCTCCGCCAGGGCCCAGCCTGCTGAGCAGTGTCCTAACAGTGGGCACGCCGTGCCGCCCAGGAGCGTGTCCTTGCTGTCCTCCTGTCCTTCGGGGCAGCTGCCGTGCTGTGTGGGGCTGCCGGTCAGGCTTACTGGCCACTCTTGGCCTGAGTGATAGGAGAACGGCCGCTCTGATGCGGGGCGATGCTCCTGAGTACTGTGTGAGTGGGGAGCTGTGTCCCTGCACTGCCTGCTGCCGTCCAGGATGCTGTAGGGGTGTCAGCTTCTTTTCCTCGTGTCTCACAGATCATTCTGTCCACCAACATCGCAGAGAGCTCTGTCACAGTCCCCGACGTCAAATACGGTAAGAGGTGCCACGTCTCCGCTCCCGCAGCCCCGACACAGAGCCAGGTGTCTGAGGCCCACTCACCCTCGGGGTTGTTCTCCCTGTGCTCCCGTCTTTCTGTTGTAGGAGAAGGTTCTGTGGGCCCCCAGCCCTTTGGCTCTCACTCTCACATCTGAGTGCCGGCAAGCTTGTGACCGGGCAGGGCCACTCCCAGGGAGTGGTGGGCGCTTCTAGGGCCTGTGGGAAGCAGAGCTCTGAGACCAGAGGGAGGTGCCAGGTCTTCTCTAGGCCTAAAGGTGGGCTAGAGGGAAGCCACGTCAGCTCCTCCTCGTGCCTGGCTGCCTGGGCGAGCGCTTCGCCAGTCGGTTCCCTGAGCTCGCCACTTCATGTCTGGGAGTGCGACAGTGGGACGATTGGCAGGTAGAAATAGTTGTGGTTTCAGGTCAGCGTGGAAGTTACGTGGGGAGATAAGAGAAAGGGGTTGCAGTGACCAGGCAAATGATCTTTCAGGGCGCAATGCGGGACTCCCTTGGTATCTGAATAAAGACCGGAAGGCACGAGGAGCGAACCACGCAGGATACAGTCCCAGTGCAGGGAACAAGACAGGAGGCCTGCCTGGTGGGACGGCCAAGCCCGGGGAGGTGACGGCAGGCATTCGGTCTCTGTGCTGGGAGTCACAGCAAACAGCACAGAGAGAAGTTCGTGTTCTCAGGACGGCTCAGGGTGGGCATTAGGAAGGGAAGCAGCAGAGACAGATGCAGGGGTTGGAAGTTCCGTGAGGGTGCCCGTAAGAAGAGTGGGGGCGTATGGGTGGGAGTCTCCGGGAACAGCCAGGAAGCGTCCCCTGGAGGGTGACATTCCACTCGGATCCTGAGGGCAGTTAGAAAGTGCTGTGAAGACATCTGAGGAAAAGCATTTGGGGCAGGAGAAAGAGAAGGTGCAAGCCCTAACGCAGAGCAAGGTTGACGTGTCACACAGCAGCAAGGTGGCTGGGGTGGGAGCAGGGCCGGCTGAGGAGAGGGGAGTTCGTGTGGAGGCCCAGGCTGTGCCGAGCCTTCCAGAGCAATCAGGACCTCGCTCACTGAGAGCTGGAGGGCGTGGTGAGTTTTGAGGACAGGAATGACAGACCTGGAGTTTGTGTGTAGAGTCACTCTGGAGGTGGAGACAACCAGGCAGGAGAGAGACGGAGGCGAGTTCAGGTGTCAGAGTCAGCTGGTGGCAACCGAAGGTGGTGTAGGACGGACACAGCAGCTGGGGACGGGGAATGGCAGGTTCTGGGGGCTGAGGGTCGTGAGGGACACGACGAGGGTGACTAAAAACGCATGGCCTATGGAGCTAGCAGGCCAGGGCCGTGAGAGGGCAAGAACTGCAAGGACGGTGAGTCTGCTGTCTGCTGGGCTTCAGGAGAAGAGGAGGGAGGGAGGGAGGGAGCAGCTGGGCGTGCGAGCCCGGACAGCTGCCGGGACACCGGCACAGGGCAGGGCAGCGCTGGGGTGCTCAGCAGGTGCCTGGGGCAGGCCCCTCACTGGGAGAGGGAGGAGGGAGCGGCCACACCCCGGCCATAGGCTAAGGAAGGACAGAGCAGGCAAGCGGCCTGGGGAGCAGCAACACGAGGCCGTCAGGGCCCTGACACAGCAGTGTTGGTGGCACCAGGTCTGGAATGGGCTCGAGACGGAACGGGCTGAATGTGGACACAGTGGAGTCAGACGGGACTCTTCTGGGCATTTGGGGGTGAAGGGGCGTGGAAGGTGGGGGCAGTGGGCGAGGCACAGTGGGGCCCAGAGAACGTATTCCTGGCTGGGGCCTCTGGCCATGCTTCTGCATGGGGCAGGTGCAGAGGGTGGGCTGCTGCTCGGGACATGGAGGAAGCCGCAAGTATGAGGGTGGACGCAGGCCTGTACCCAGGGGTCCCAGCGCGCGGGAGCTTGAGTTCTCACAACCTCCAGAAGGGGCCATGTGACCATCAGTCGAGAGAATAGGAGGAAGGAAGCATTAGAGGTTCGAGGAGAAAACATGAAATGCTGCAAAGATGGCATAGCAAGTGGGCCAGGGGCACGGTTCCCTGAGGGCCACTCATGGCTGACCAGGGGTTGGCAGGAAGCCCATGCTGGCTGTTCTGGCTCTCCCTGGCCATGTAAGTGGCCCAGTGCAGGTGGAGGCTGTCCTTACAGGCTGGGCCTAGTCCACACGTGGGCAGGAGGCAGCCGGGTCGCCTGTGGCTGCACGACTGCTCTGGGGCTTGCAGTCGGGGTCCGGAAGTGGAGGGGAGGGTGCGCTAGCAGGGCATGAGAGACAGACTAGGTCCAGAGAGGGCGAAAGGCACGGGGAAGTGTTCCAAGAGCAGGAGAGGTGAGAGGTGAGAGGTGGGAGCTCTGGATCCAGAGGGGAGTCTGACCCAGGAGAGGCGACCGTTTCACAGTGACCCAATGGAGCGTGCGCTGAGCCGAAGGCGGTGCTGACTGGGGTGGAACTGGATCCCAGAGGAGCGGGGCTCGAGCACCCAGGCTAGATGCAGCGGCCTTGTTCTGTGGGCCTGACGTCACCAGGAGTGACAGCAGCAGCAGTGCAGGGCAGTGAGAGCAAGCTGGAGGATACGACAGAACCTCCGAGGAATCCTGGGTACCTCCTGCTCTTTGGGCTCCACTGGCAAGGACGAGGGAGAGGAGACACAGGAGAGCCCCTTCCCGGGTAGACGGGGCCAGCACCTGTGTTCCATGTGAGGGAGCACACAGAAAGCCGGCCACTTGTCCAGGCCACTTGTAGACACACAGACCTGTGGGTTCACAGCCACACACACACACACACACACACACAGCATGTGGGCATATCCAGCCACACCCACACAGACAGGCGCGCG